TTGTGCGCTATAACACTACACAGTTATGGCAGTATCGTGAAGTCGGTTTTTATTAAAATATTTCATTTATTGCAGCGTTCTATGAGATAATTTTTATTTGTTACTCTTAAGCACTGCGTGTACTACTTTTTGTAAAATATTTTGTGTGGTTTTGTTCAATGGTAATTTGCTGCTGCAGTCCACTAGTTAAAAATATATTTCTATTTCTAGCGTACAATAAAAGAGAAGATAAATTGAAAATAAAATAATATATTGTACCCGTAAATAATGAATTCAAAATTAAATTCTCAATAACAGTATTGCTGGAGCGTTTATGCATTCATATAAGATAAATGTTTACCGTTCCTATTTACTTATGTACCATTTACATCATAAGAACCGATGATGGGAAAAAATCATATTTCGATGTTTGTTTCCAGCGTTTCAGTGAGTAGAGCCTGGTGAGTTATCTATACTAGTACGTTTAGTGCATTTTATATCCGGAAGGTGTGACGGTGTTGTTCACCAATTGCCGAACGTGTTGAACTTGGCGACTAGCAGGGACAAGTTTTAATATTCCGACTGGTCGCTTGTATCGATAGTTCCACGTAAGTGCGAGTGTGTGTTCGTGTGTGCCAGGGGGACGAGCGGCATCGATATCGGACCTCCGCCGCGTGGGACATCGACCAGTGCCCGCTCGCCCCGGCAGCCAGCAGCTCAACATCTTCGCCGCCTCCGACAAGTGCAAGAAGCGCACCCCAGGTATGACGATCGCGATTGCATGCACTCATACTAAATACGCAGAGCCGCCCCGAAGCACACTGCACACACACACTCGAGACACCACACTCGAGCACGCCACCGACTCGAGCAACTCGAGCACGACACACACATCGAGCACGACCACACTCGAGCACGACCACACGCGAGCACGACCGCACGTCGAGCACGGCCACACTCGAGCACGACCGCCACTCGAGCACGAGGCCACACTCGACAGACACACACACGTTCTAACGCAGCGAACGACACCTCAAGCACGATAGCCGCAGCGACCGCCCCGCCCGCCCGGCATACTCGAGCACAACCACAGTGAACACAACACTCAAGCCGACACCGCCGAACAACGACCACACTCGAGCACGACCACATGCGAGCACGATCACACTCGGCACGACCGCACTCGAGCAACGGCCACATCGAGCACAACAACGCTCAAGCACGACCGCACTCAAGCACGACCATACTCGAGCACAACCACAGTTGAACACAAACACTCGAGCACGGCCACACGCGAACACGACTACACGCGAGCACAGACCACACCGAGCACGATCTACATTAGATACGACCACACTCGAGGCACAACG